CAATCATTTAAAGTTCTGGAATCAAGATCAACACTCACACTCACAAAGATAAACACAATGCATGATTTCACCCATAGGTTTCCCCTTATTTTCCCATCGACTTTTGTTTCAGCTCATTCAAGATCAAAAAAGTCTTTTTAAGTCTTGTATTGAGGCTGAATTTAAAGGTATGGTCATTTAGGCTCAATGGCTTCTATCCTCATGAAATGTGATGTGAACAACACCTTCTTTCCTTTTCTTCATCATGTTCATTCAAGCTCAAAAGTCACCTCCTATTCATCTTCCATGGACCATTGGAAATCCCATTTTCTTTGTATTTTCACAATTTTATTCCACAACTTTTTCTTTCTTTTTCAATCTTTTCTTCTTCTTTTTCTCCCTTTTTTTTATACGAAGGGGTTCCATTTTTCTCAAAACATGGGGAAAAGGGACTTCTTTGCATTTTCTTGGTTTACCTTTTCTTTTCACCACACCCCCAACTTAGGCTTTTGGCCTAAGTTGACTATTCAAATAAATCACACATCATGAGGATTATGGGTAATGGATCAAGAAAGGTTAAGCTTTCATCAAGTTTCTTCCAAGAAAAGGTCAAGGTTCAAAGGGTGCTCAAAGGGGTTCACACACTCAAAAGGTAGGCCACAAAAAAAGGTATAATGTCAAATTATTTCACACTCTTTAAAGTTGCCTAAGATCATATCAAGAAATTTGCTTCACTTAGTTAACCGGACTAACTGGGAAAATTCTAGGTGTCATCATACATGGTTCATGGTAAGTTCATCACACAAGGCATCGACACCAATGTCAAAGCAAGACTCCACACTTTTGCTAGTGTGCAATGTTCATCACAAGAGACACAATCAGGTACTTGGCTAGTCACAACGAGATGCAAATATTTTACATATTGACAATGCAACTTCATTTGGCCTCATCGTAGCTGTACATTCATGTTTGTTCGATTATAAGCACTATTCGAGTCATCAGTATTGATCAAAACCGATGCTCAAATTTGCAAAAGAAAAGCCTCATTCATCACAGGCAAGGAGTGTCAAAATGAGGAGGAGGTTCACTGACAACACAGAGTAATCTCCACACCCCCACAAAAGCAGTCTACGTTGTCCTCAATGTGGGTAGAGAGTCGGCATTCACCGCAAATAAAATAAAATAAAAATAATCAATAAAAACTAACAAGAAATTAAAACAATCTAGTGTGTAACTAAGTAGAGCAGGGTAACGAGGAATCTTCACTAAATACCCAGTTGGCGATGAAGTGAAACGGTCACCGAATGCTTCGGCGATACGCCTAATGTTCTTCAGATCACCCTTAGTTCCAGTAGACTACACTTACAGAGAAGGCAGATCGGCGAAGATGTAGGGGATCGCCAAACAGATCAGCGATCCGCATAATGAACTCAGAGCATCACCGGTCGATCTTTGAGGGACGTTGTCAGCGTTGACTAGAAAGGGCGAGGAAAGTCGGGTCACCTCAATACATCGGTGAGACACCGACTGGTGAAGGTGTCCCACCAAATGTTCCAGAGTCTTAGCCTCAATTTTGAGATCCATAAGGCGAACCAAATCGTGCTCGCTGAAATGGTTTGGCAATTTACCAAGAGTACTTTGTCTCGCTCATGATCCCACTCCTGCAAAATCAACACACATTATTTAAAACACTAACACTTGGGTTGCCTCCCAAGAAGCGCCTTATTTAACGTTGTGGCACGACGTGGAAATGCTCTCAAGCATCTTCCAGGTACAACACCTCAATCAAAGAAATCTCCTGGCTTTCTCCAAAGTATAATTTCAATTGTTGCCCATTCACCTTAAATGCAGGTCCCTCTTGACCCTCAACTTCTATGGCACCATTGGTGAATACTCTTGTTACTCTAAATGGTCCTGACCATTTGGACTTGAGTTTTTCGGGAAAGAGTCTAAGTCGGGAGTTGTACAGTAACACCCAATCTCCCACCTTAAACTCTCTTTTAAGTATTTTGCATTGTGCCACTTCGTCATCTTTTCCTTGTAGAAAGCTGAACTTTCGTAAGCTTTAAACCTGAATTCCTCCAATTCGTTTAACTGCTCTACTCTCTCTTTTGAGGTTTTGGTCCAGTCCAAATTCAGAGCTTTCAATGCCCACATTGGTTTGTGTTCTAACTTGACTGGTAGATGGCAAGACTTCCCAAAAACTAACTGATACAGAGACATACCGATTGGAGTTTTGTAAGCGGTGTGATACACCCATAGTGCGTCGTCAAGCTTTCGAGACCAATCAGTCCTATTAGCATTCACTGTCTTAGCCAGGATGCTCTTGATTTCTTGGTTTGATACTTCAACTTGACCGCTTGTTTGGGGATGATATGGAGTTGCTACTTTGTGTTTCACCTCATACTTACTCAATGCAGTTGAGAACTATTTGTTGCAAAAATGGGAACCACCATCACTGATAATAGCTCGAGGAGTACCGAATCTAGCAAAAGATGTAGCGTTTTTGAAATTGAACCACACTTTTCCCTTCATTGTTTGGAAGTGCAACAACTTCTACCCATTTTAGAAACATAATCTACTGCCACCAAGATATACTTATTACCAAAGGAACTCACAAATGGGCCCATGAAATTGATTCCCCAAAAATCAGATAGCTCGACTTCCAAAATGGGAGAAAGGGGTAACTCGTGTCTTTTAGATACTTCACCTTGGTTCTGACATTGGGCGCATTTCTTCACAAATTCATGCGCATCTTTGTAGATGGATGGCCAGAAGTATCCACTTTGGAGGATTTTATTGGTTGTACGCACACCGCTATGATGGCTCCCAACCGGTGAAGCATTACAAGAATGGAGAATTTCCACCGCCTCTTCTTCCGGAACACACCGTGTGATGATATGATCCGCACACTTTTGAAACAAGTATGGCTCATCCCGAAAGTACTTTTTAATGTCGAACATGAACCTCTTTTGTTGGTTGAAGTTCAGCTCATCCGGTATTAATCCGCACACTATGTAATTGGCGAAATCTGCATACCAAGGAATTTGTTTGAGAGTTATTGCAAACACTTGTTCATCGGGGAAGGAATCGTCTATGTCAACCTCAGGCACATCATTCTCCTTGCCCTCTAACCTGGATAAGTTGTCAGCCACCTGATTTCCGTAACCTCTTCTATCTTTGACCTCAAAGTCAAATTCTTGCAATAGGAGCACCCACCTTTTCAACCTTGGTTTTGCATCCTTCTCTGTCATTAGGTAACGGAGTGCAACATGATCAGTGTTAGTAATTACTTTAGTGCCTAACAAGTACGCCCAAAATTTCTCAAATGCATAGACTACCGCAAGCAACTCTTGTTCCGTCACGATATAATTATGCTGAGCACTGTTTAGAGTCTTGCTTGCCTAATAAATTGGGTGAAATTTTTTATTGCATTTCTGCCTCAACACAACACCCAATGTCGTTCCACTTGCATCACACATTACTTCGAAAGATTCTGACCAATCAGTACTGATAATGACTGGGGTCGATACTAATTTTTCCTTTAAGCACTGGAAAGCCATCATACAAGCATCATCAAAATGGAATTTCACTTCTTTCTCTAACAGTTTGCATAAAGGATGTGCAATCTTTGAGAAGTATTTGATGAACCTCCGGTAGAAACCGGCATGTCCTAAGAAACTACGAATCCTCTTTACCGAAATTAGTGGTGGCAATTTCTCAATAACTTCAACCTTTGCTCTATCAACCTCCTGCCCCTTTTGCGACACCTTGTGACCAAGTACTATTCCTTCTTTAACCATGAAGTGACACTTTTCCCAGTTGAGGGCCAAGTTTGTTTCCACACAGCTTTGGAGAACTTGTCCTAAGTGTACCAAGCATGTCTCAAAGGTATCACCCACAACTGAGAAGTCATCCATAAATACCTCCATTGAATCTTCTACCATGTCGGCAAAAATCAATAGCATGCAACGTTGGAAGGTTGCCGGGGCATTGCATAACTCGAAGGGCCTTCTTTTAAAGGAAAAAGTTCCATAGGGACATGTGAAGTTGGTTTTCTCTTGGTCTTCCGGTGCGATGGAGATTTGGTTGTAACCAGAATACGTATCTAAAGAGCAATACCAACCCCTCTTTGATAGCCTGTCAAGAATTTGATCCATGAATGGCTTAGGAAAGTGACCTTTTTCAGTCCACAAATTTAACTTTCGATAATCCATGCATACTCTCCACCCGTTCATTGGTCTAGTCGGCACAAGCTCCCCTTTTTCATTTGGGACTACGGTGATACCTCCCATTTCCGGTACACATTGCACTGGACTTACCCATTTGCTATCTGCAATATGGTAGATCACACCTGCGTCCAACCACTTGAGGATCTCCCTTTTTACCACTTCTTGCATTGGTGGGTTCAATCTCTACTATTTCTCAACACTAGGCTTACACTCATTATCAAGCTAGATTTTTTGAGTACAAATATCAGGAGGGATGCCCACTATATCAGCGATGGTCCATCCTATAGATTTTATATGCTTTCACAACACTTCAAGGAGTAATTTCACCTGTCATTCAAGCAAGTCAGTTGCAATGATCACCGGTAAAGTGTTATTTGCTTCCAAGAAAGCATATCGGAGATGAGAGGGAAGTGCTTTCAATTCCAGATTAGGTGGTTCTTCTGTTGATGTCTTTGCGGGAGGAATCTCTATATTTTTAGGTCAATATCCAACTTGACTGGAGTCTTTGAATACCCTCCTAAACCTGTCAAAGCAGCTACTACCTCCTCATAGCCCTGAATTTTGGATTCATCATAATTAGCAAGTACGACTTCAAGGGGTTCATTCATGCACATCAAAATGGCTTACACTAGCTACCGCCTCATCAATAATATCATCAGTAGACACCACATGAATATCACTTGGGTGTTTCATGGATTTGAAAATATTGAAAGTTACTTCATCTTCGTTCACCCGAAACCTAAATTCTCCACTTTCAACATCCACTAATTCTCTCCCAGTTGCTAAGAATGGCCTTCCCAAAATAATGAGAATTTCAGCATTTATTTCACAATCTAAAATAACAAAATCATCCGAAAAAATGAACCGATCGACCTTCACCAAGATGTCATAAAGTATCCCCACGGGATGTTTGATTGAACGATCTGCCATCAATAGTCTCATTGAGGTTGCTTTTGGTTCACCCAATCCAAGTTGTTTGTATATCGCATAGGGAATTAAGTTGATGCTTACTCCTAGGTCACATAAAACTTTAGCGAATTGGAGCATGCCTATGGTGCATGGAATGGTGAATGCCCCGGGATTTTCCCTCTTTTCGATCAACTCCTTAGTCATAATTGTACTGCAATTATGGGAAACTTCAATTGTCTCATGATCCAAACTCCTCTTATTCGTGATCAACTTTTTCATGAACTTGGCATATCCCGACATTTCCAACAATGCTTCCACAAGGGGGAGGTTGATTGATAGTGTCTTGAACACTGCCAAGAACTTCTTAAACTTCTCATCTTCATTTTCCTTCTTTAAACATTGGGGAAATGGTTGAGGTATTTTGGGTAAAGGTTGCATGACTTTTGGAATTTGAACGTGTTGTTCCACTTCCTTTTGTGGTTCTTTTGCAAGGTTTTGATGAATAAGCAACTCTTGTTCCTCTATGCCTTCACTTTCTTCATGCTTTTGAGCATCTTCATTTCCCATCACATTACCTATTGCTACCTTTCCGCTTCAAGTAACCATAGCCAGCCCTCTATCGTCATCTTCTATCATTATCTTTGGTTTCAACTGAGCTGATAATAAACTCAGTTGTCCTTCAAGTGTCTTGATGGCATTTGCATGAGAGTTCACTTTACTGTTCAATGATGAAAAGTCATCTTTCATCCCTTTCAACAAATCATCCGAACCTTCAACTTTGTCAAGTATGCGTGACAACAAGTCATTCACCCAGGGACTGCTTGCATTACCTTTTGATTTTGGTCTTTCACTTGAGTGAGTATGGTTTTCCTGGTAATCATCTTTACTTATCCAATAATCATTTTTCTCGGCCCAATATTGATAGTATCTCTTTTGTTCTTCTCCTTTATGATAGTTCCAACCTTGATCTCCGCCTCGCTGTAGAGAGCGTGGGTGGAAACCCTCCTTATATCTCTTGGAGTTCCAACCTTGATTCTCCCCCGGCCTTGAGTAACCGGAAGAAGAACCCTCCTCAACTTTAAACACTCCACATGTCTCTTTCATGTGCTCTTGTAGCACTTCCATTTGGGTCAACATCTTCTTGATCTTTTCATCCTTTTCTTTCTCTTTATCAAGTTTCTCTTGCGTTAATCTAAAATGAAATGGAGAGACTTGATCCTCTTTGGTGTACCACGCTTGGTTTATTCTAGTCATGTCATCTAGAAGAAACGAAGCTACCTCAAATGATTCTAACATTATTCCTCCTCGTACCAATTGATCAGCCACTCCTTTATTAACCAAGTCGAGACTCCGGTAGAAATATTGCAGTAACAAATCGTTTGGTAGCCCATGAGTTGGGCATTTAAGTAGGAGCTTCTTGAATCTCACCCACGTTTCATGGATGGGTTCCCCCTTTCGTCGCTTGAAGCTTTGAATTTCGTCTCTAACTTTCATCATCCTTGATGGATGAAAGAATCTTTTGTTAAATGCTATAACCATCTCCTCCCATGATGTGATGGAATTGTTTGGTAACTCGGCTAACCACTTATTAGCTTCTCTCGTTAAGGATAGTGGAAATAACCGTAGCCAAGTTGACTCTTGTGACACACTATTGAATGAAAAAAGGCTACAAACCTCTGTAAAGTTTCTCACATGCTCATGCGGGTCTTCGTGATCTAGTCCTCCATATAGCCCCCTCATTTGGAGAATATGAAGAGTTGTGCTAGTGACTTCAAACATCGCATTCTCATCAGTTTGTGGGAAGCAAATTGCACCCATTCCACCCGATTGAGCTGGGTTGTAAATATTTTTGGTGTCGTCTAGACCATCTCAATGACCTGCTTGGTTGTTATTCATCTCTTCCTCACTCATGTTCACTTCTACGTAGTCCAACCAGCACTTACACAAAGAAGCCAAAACTAATTCAACTACAACCAACGAATTTGAGAGTGTCAAATCTTCAATCAAAGAATTTTAAGTAACGCTATTCCCTGGCAGCGATGTCATTTTGATTAACGTATCAAGGCATTTCATCCAATACTAAATGCCAACGATCGTTCGTCAGTATAATAACCCAACTACGTGAGTTGGGGTCGATCACACAGGGAGTAGTACTTTCTTCAAATTCAATAATAAAAGTACAATGACAACCTCTTCAATCAAACAATTCTTGCACAATTAATGTTCAAATCTCAAATATCAGGTTTTTCCTATCAATCCCAAATTTACACTTGAACACAAACGATCAAATATTAGAGTAAAGCTTGGGGAATTAATCAACCAATATTGAATCTCAATGAAGTAGATAAACATTAATGCTCATAATGGGATAATTTGTTGTGGGTAGGTCGAACCATAAATAAAGTAACTTTCTCTCGAATAATTAGCTTTTCTATGTTGAATTCTCTCGAACTTCAACACCAATCGAAAGAAGCCCAACTCTTTACCCTCATCAAATCCACTCTTTCGAGCTGAATACAAAGGATGGATCACTTGTTTCACTCTCTCGTGCTGAAACCAAGGAACCCACTACTAAGGATGCTAAGATTGTCACCTTGGTTCCACACCTCTCTCTCGAGCAAGTGCACAACACTGAAATTGATACACAAAGTCATGCAATTCAACCTCAAAACACAGCAACAACTTAGACCCATTTCAAATTAACACCATTTTTTTCAACTAACAAACACCCACTAAGTAAATTCAACAATTGGCTTCATGATCAAAACCCCAAGTAAAGGGTTTTAGCCACTCATCTTAAAAATAAGAAAATCAAAATTAATTATCACTCTCATTGTTGGGTACAAATGAGAATTATAGATGAAAATTAATTGATAATCTTCTCTCTTACAAAATATCTCAAAATCTTGCTAAAATCACTCAGTAAACCCTTTGGTAGTGTTTTCTCTCTAAGTAATTCCTTCCCACGTAAAGGGTTTTATCCACTCATCTAAAAAATGAGAGAATCAAAATCAATTATCACTCCCATAGTTGGGTACAAAATGAAAATTATAGATGAAAATCAATTGATAATCTCCTCTCTTTCAAAATCTTGCTAAAATCACTCAGTAAACCCTTTGGTAGTGTTTTCTCTCTAAGTAATTCCTTCCTCACATTCTGAATGAATTTCTCTATTTCTCTGTCTAGACAAAACTAATTTAAACAAGTTTGAATTGTCACTGCTTATGACCACTCGGCGAAGTAAGTCGGGTGTCGCTGACAGATCGGCGAATCACCGATTGTTCTTTATCTCACCTTTAATTTTTGCTTTTTCTTGGTCTGGCTACTGTAACTTTAGGCGATCCAGTTCCGGATCACCAAATGACTCCACGATTAGCCCTTTGTCCTTCCATCTCGCCTATCAGCACTTGCTTGAATCTTCTTTAGCACTTTTGGCGACCTGGTTGTCCTTTGCCGACTAGATCAGCGATACGCTGAATATAGTTACTGCTTACTAAATTCACCCTAATTATAGATCTGGCATTCAGTAACTTTAGGCGGTATCTTGGCGGCTTGGCGATTCACCGAATAATATTGTCGATTTGGCGATTCGCCGAATGAAATCATTGATCATCAACTCTTCATTTCTTCCTTCCTTCAGCTTACCTTATTCCTTTTTGCCCAATAGTGTCCATGCTTTGTCTCTAAATCCAATTATCTGAAACTCAAGGGTTTACATCAGTTATTGATACAAAATATGCATTTGAGGACACTAAATTTATCAAAATAAAGCCCTAAAAGAGTCCAAATTGTGGATTCATCAGCGACCAAGATGCGAGACAGGCCACTGAATGAGATGGCCCGATTTCCATTTCCCTGTCTGATAGGGAAATTATGTCGACAAGCGAACATTCCCCCAAACAGGCTGGTTGACAGATGGGGTGAAGCATCCAGACTCACCCAAGTTTCTAAAATCAAAGATGTCGCGAACAATCTCTTTGGTGCGAAATCTGGAGCTGTAGGTACTTTGGTTGTTGTTCCTCACGTACGAATCGACATCCTACAGGCTGATAGAGGTCCAGAACAGGGAGAGTCATCACAGCCTTCCACAACGGCACCACCACCATCAACTTCCGCCTCATAGGCTCTAGGTACCTATGTCACTATTCCTATGATTTTTCTTGATAAATTGGTTGCAGATCAGCGCCAAACCAAGACCTTGGTCGACCAGATTCTAAACTGGCTGCCTCAGCTAATGGAGAGAGATGTGTTAGCTGCGAAGAAAGAGATTAAAGATGAGATGTGGAAGGATCTGGTTTTCTTAAAAGATGGAATGGATGGTTTGGAGAACCTTGTCCAGGATCGATTCCAGGTCGCCGGTTTAGTAGATATTGAAGAGTTCAAAGCACAATTAGCCGAGATACGAACTCATGTTGCTAAATTGGTTGAAAATCCAGTACAAGTTCCCACTCCGATCATGCCAGACTCGTTGATGCAATTGCTAAATCAACCACCCTCCACACAATCACTTGACGAGTTTTGGGGTGAACTACCCAAGAGTAAGTCTGGCAAGAAAAAAAATAAAGCCGGAGAATCTGATGAGGAGATACCTACTGACCTGTCCAGAGAGAGAAGAAGGGAAGAAAATAAAGCCCACAAGGCATCAAGAAAGGCAGTTAGAGAAAAAGAAGCACTTGAGCAACAACAGCGAGATGTCGTGTTAGCTGGAGCATCTGGTAGCGAAGTACCTGCCCCAGTGAATGGTAGCTAGCCTGATCATGTGCTGAGTTCTGAGAGTTCACCCATTGATAAAGGTGCCGACGATGATCCGACTACCGGTGCTTAGAGCGTCGTAGGTATGACCCCTCCTCACAGCCCTGTTTTGTTTTCTCTGTTGACTTTGAGGGCAAAGTCCTTTTTTTGGGGAGGGGGTGGTGAGCAACCTTCCATTCTAAGTTGTTAAATTAATGGAGGTTGACTCTGTGTTTACTGTGAAAAATGGTCTGGTGTTTGTGTTTGTGTTTGAGTGTTGAGCTGTGCATCAACTAGTCTGTGAAAAAAGGAGGACCTAAATCTGAAATTTGTCTATTAGGATCTTTAGATGACATCTTAGATACTTACATGTTGAGCATTGCTAGTGCAATCAATAAATTGGTGAACCAAGAAACTGGATAATGTAGTCCTGTGTCATGTGTGTTTGAATGTTTTGCTTGAAGTCTAACGCTAGGAGCAGAAACTAGAACTTGCATGAGTAGTCTTGCTTAAATCTGACAATAACCGGATAGGAAAGGATCAATAGGCCATGTTTGTTAAGCCATTAAAAATCCAAAAAATAGAAACAACCAAATAAAAAGACTTAACCACTTGAACCCGATTTGAGCCTGAAAATCAGTCTTTGTTCTTACCCAGTAAGTATCATATCCTTTGCTCTCCGAAGATACGATGTCACAACTCAGGCCAAAAGCCTAAGTTGAGGGTGATTTTAATTCGAGCACAAAAGAAGAAGTGAAAAAGAAGGTTCAACCAGTGAGTTGAGTGCATATAAAAAAAAGTGTGAAGAAAAGAAAAGAAAAAGGAAAATAATGGTT